GAATTTAAAAAGAATCCTTAGGTTGAGGACCAGTGGTCTTATCTATTTCTAGTTACATAGAATTTTCATGCAGAGATTATTCTCTAACAATCCACAAAGTGGGTTATGAGAGACATGCCCCGTGGTTTGAGTGGTGTTCACCAGCCTCCTTCGTTTTCTCAGATGCCTCTGAACTCGACCCCACATCCACCTCAGTGCCCAGGATTAGTGAGTTACCCCTGTGAGTTAAGGTATGACCATCACAAATGTCCTTTAAAAACAGAAGATCTCCGCAAAAGGTTAGACCTACCAAACACGATCTGCCTGGATAATTCTGCCGAGCCAGGCTGTTCACACCTCTGCTCTGAGAACCAGAGCCTGTGCTCACCTGAGGCTGAGACACTGGCTTTGCACTGGAGGTGGTGTCGCGAAGGTACAGAAAGAAAGGCAGGAAGGAACCGCTTTTCTCTGTTTTACACTTCTGTAAATCATTGATATCCTGATCAATTTTTAGACAGAAATTACTCTAAAAATATGTGATAAAAGCTGTGGATCATTTTCTCAGATAAATGTACAAAACCCAAAACATTACATACAGGATGGGACAAAAGTAGGTTTACGATTGTTTGTATAGAACAGAATACAATAATTAATAAATGATAATACAAGAATAAACTCTGTGTTTCTCGAACTCACAACTGTTGACCTGCTTTTGCCCACCCTGTACAATTCATGGAGCCCAGATTCCTGAAGCTTGTCTAGAAAAGCCAGGTTAAGAATTTCTATTCACTGAACAAATATAGTGTGGTTTTTAGTGTCTGCAGTGCTGGGGAAGTTGGTGTTCACCTTCCCTTTATTCTATTTATAGTTGATCTACTCAACTTCCAAGCTCATCCCTTCCCCTCCCCCACATCATTCGCGTGTGAACAGAGCAATCAAAATAATGACGAAGGATCCTCACACTGGAAAAAAGAGGGCTCCATGCTGCTACTTCCAATCTGTTTCCATGTCCTGGAACTATGTATGGAAGAGCAAGGGGTAGCCAAATGAAGCTGGGGTGTGTGTGGGGGGGGGGGGCAGGCGGGCACTGGAGGTGGTGTTGCAAAGGTAATGTGCTGGGTTCAGCTCTGCCACACTTGTCGTTGCTCCCCAAAGTGACAGTTCGGTATAACAAACTACCAGGGAAAATCAGACCCTGGAGCACAGCCATCAAGGAGTTCTCTCTCTCACAGATTCTGGGTCAGGACACATGGAAGTAAATAAGATAGAAATCCTTATTAGGGCCTTTGCATGGCTAAAGTTTGGAATATTTTAAACTCGCGTTTGGGGTCTGACTTCTCTGGCACAAGGTTCCAATGCTCCGGTGGAGAGGAGAAGGATCAAGATGCAGGAGCTGAGCGACCCTAGTTCCCTCTTTGAGAAGAAAGGATGTAAAGGATTCATATGCCCAAAGCAATCAGTAACTCACTGTTACACCTGCGCCAGGGTTTGTATTGCAGAGATGGGGACACACTTAACTCATATAACTTATCTTTGTCTACACAGCATAAACTCAAGATGGCATTGCTCACCTGCCCCTTTCTCTGCACTCTGGCGTACTATCAAGTTCTATCATTTTCTTTAGTCAGGTTTATTCATTCCTGTCACATCAGCTCAATGGAAGCAGGATGTCAATTTTATTTCTGGGTATTCTTGGTAATGCATAGACATCAATCCCATCACAGATATCAAGTCTTATAGTATTTGTGATATTGATTAATAGTTATATATTCATTCCTGTTTGTTTTTCCTTGTTCCTACGAAGTGTGGTGGTGAAGTGTACAAAGTCAAGTCAGGCTGCCAAGTCCAAAATCCCACTACGATGTTGCTTTGTGAACTTGAACAAATGACTAAACGTCTCTACGCCCATTTCTTCATTTATGAAATGCAGAGAAGAACAGTACCCACCTCACGAGGCTGGTGCATTACTACATATAAGATGCTTGGAACAGAGGTTGACACATAGTAAGTGCTCAGTAAGTCTTAGCTGTGTTACCTCATTCTCAGCACCTACAGTTTGTGAATCAACCACTGGCAAAATTACCATTGATAACTTTCCACTTGGCAGTCATTAAAATAAAGTACAAACTCCCGTGGCACACTGGAAACCTGTTCTGCAGATCCGCCAGCTCCCCAGAAGGGTGTTTGTGGAGGCACGCCATCATTAGCCTTACCTCCTCAAGGCCAGGAAAAGCTCCAGAAAAGAATACTGTGTTCACTGGGTGTTTTCTATTTGCCAGTTAGAGACCATACCAGTATGGTAAAGGGGGCTCAGGCAAGACAGCCCAGGGGCAATAATCTGATCTCAGTTGTCTCAGCAGCCATGTGAGTGGAGCAGGTGTCACAGAAACCTGGGGACCAACATTTAGGGCACAACTTGGAATCCAGGGGCAAACTCTCTCCACACATCAGCAGGAGTACTGCTTAGGAAAGAGGGTATATTTGGGTTCATCGGTTTCCATCCAATGCACTTCTTTAGGGAGAACTGTTCACCAAGCCAGTGCAGAGATGGTTAACCTCCTGCACGTCAGACTGATACACGGGTGCCTTTGGACTCCAGGAGCAGAATCTGGAAGGGGATCATGAAAGCCTGGATTTCCTTTGATATTTGTATAAGCTTTATAGACTATGAATTTTGAGGTCCTGAGTCACCTACTTTCTGTCAAGTTTCTAGCAAAGCCTCTTCATATAAAATAGTTTTAAAGTTTTACACTATATAACGAAAGGCAGAACAGTAGAACCACTCCAAAGACAAGCCCCTCTTTTCCATGTGTCTACCATATCATCAGCTCTTGGTGCAGCCCTGGCTGGTTGCAATTTCAGTGTAATCCAGGGGGACAAAATCAATGGAGAGGAGGAGGCTCGGATGCAAGAGTAGGAACTCAAGGTGGAATAAGACAAAGGGTATTGTTGGCTTTGAAGAGGAAGGAGAAATTGATTCCAATGAAATTTAAGGAGCAGAGAAGAGAGAAAATGTTTTGAGAAATGTTGAATGCATGGATGTTAACATGGCCTCAGCAGATCTTGTACAGCAGATGAGATTGTCTGCTAAGGAGAAAGGCAGGCTTGGCAGGTTTGTGCTGGACTTTCAAAGCGAACTGAAAGATTTAGAGGATTTTTTTTTGCCCTGTATCTCTTTCCAATCCTAGGTAGAGTCACCAAATTAACCACTGTTATCATGATTCTGCTCCAGAACTATCAGAAGTCTCTCACTGCCTGCCCCCGTGGGTTCATACACCTTAAGCTAAGATTGAAGGCAGCCACTGTCTGGGACCTATATCCTTCCTTCCCAGATCTGGCTCCCACAAATCTCCATTCCAGCAGAGCTCGGAAAACCCTTCATACATGTCCCATCCTTTGTCACCGCCCCATTTTGTCCCTGCTGCTTCTTTCATCTTGAGTATCCTTCCTCCATCATCTACTCTTATTGTTTTATGTCTGCTTGAAGGCTCAACTCTCTTTTCCACCAGGATGCATTCTCTGATTCCCAGGACTGGGAGCAAATTCTCTCTTTTCTGCACATCCATATAACTTTGTTCATACTTCTCTAGGGACATTTTTTTTTTTCCTTTGCAGTCTTCCTTACACAGTGGTTATTTTTATACTCTCTTCATCTTCCTACGATATTATAAACCTAAGGGCAGGATTTTTTGCATTATTCACCTTTCTACACCATACTACTTTCTACTCCAATGCAAAATATATTTAGCCAGAGGAAATGTTCTATTAATGTGTATTCTCTTGAAGTTAATAATGTCCTATTGAAGTTAATGCTGGGGGCGGGGGAGAGTCATTAGACTAGAGGTTTGGAAATTTCCTGTGGACCTGCACAAATTGGTCCTATGGATATATTCTTTTTTATATTCCTGGAACATAAATGTTGTAATACATAATATTTCATTCATTCATTTATCCTTCATTGCAAATGTCTTGAATACCTACCAAATGCAAGGCGTGTGCATAATAAGTATGGTGATGGCTCTGGATATATGCAAAGAGGCCCTCCTCATCACCACCGTCAGCCAAAAGCAATGTGTCATAGGAGTGACCATTTAAGTTGTGTCCTGTGGGTTCAGAATAAGCCTTGTAACGCACAGAACCAAATTAGAGGTGATTTTAACATCAGCACAGAATATTGGCTTTTTAGACATTCATCTTTGTGTTTGTTTGGAGATTTTGCTTTAGAAAATATCAATTATACCCTCCCCCTTTATCTCTCTTGTCTATAATTATTTTCCTGGCATTTACTCGATGAAGAGCTTCAAGTCCACTTTTGCAGATGAAAATAAACTGATGAAAATTGAAAAATCAATGCTTTCCTTCTAATAGTTTGGACCAAAAAAAGTAAAAAGCCTCCAATTTTGTCATCATAATCAATATATAATGGAGCAGTGGCCACAAATACACATTTAAAAAGTAGGTTGGTTTGGGGTTCATTTGTTTTTAAATAATAAGGCACATTTTTTTTCTTTCAAAGATGCTGTATGTAAAAAAAACATTTTAAAAAATACATTGAAAATTTTTGTTTCAAAATATGAGTGTGTCTGAGCTTGATGCCCAGCTAAAGCACTGGATGTCCATTACCTCTCCCGTCAGGGTCTTTATCCATGTCCTGGGGTTGCAGGACACGCGGGTCTGCCTCTTGCCTCCTACGGACCCATCATTTCTCTGCACAGGTCTTTTGAGGTCCAATCTATGTGTGGCTTCTTCAGCCAGGAGCTTCTTGGATCTTTCCAGACTTTGCGATGCTGCCTGGTGCGGTGACTTCATTGCTTTCCCAGCCCGGCACTTGGCAGGCTCTCCCTCCCTTCCTCTCCTTCCCCATCTCCCTCTCTTCTCCCACGGCCCATCTGCCCCTCCTGTCCGCCACCCACCTCTCCTCTCTGCTCCCCTTTATTTCCACTCCCGTCCGCCAGCTCGGCTCCCCTCTCCCCCCGGCTGTCTGTATTTGGAGCTCCGGAAGCCGGCGACTCTCCCCGGGAGCAGCGTGACTGACAGACTCCCTCCGGGGGAGGCGGGAGGGGAGCTGACGGAGGAGGTCGAGAGTGGCGGACACGGATTCGCACCGCCCAGGACAAGACCCCAGGCCACCCCAGCAGGTAATCCTGGAGCAGGGGCGGGCGGGCGAGGGGGCCGTGGGTGCAGGTGCGGGGACGCCCGGGGAAGTTGCGCTGAACGGGTGGGATGAGGGGGCCGGACGGCAGCTGGGGAAGAAAGGCGGTGCGGGCGCCGTGGGCGCAGGACGCCGGACCCGGGCGGGACGCGGGCGGGAGCCAGCGCTGAAGGTCCCTGCGGGAGCCCATCTGGGTCAGCGCAGCAGCGCGCCCTGCCCCCGCCGTCCCTCTCTGGGTGCCCGGGCCGCCCCGAGCGAAGGCGGGTGCAGGCGGGGTGCGGACTTGCCGTGGGGGTGGCGGGGCCTCTGCTCCAGGCTCATCAAACTTTGTGGGTGTCCGCCCGCTGGGCTCCGAGCCTTGCGAGGGTGCGTGTGAGGGAGGGTTGGGTGCTGCCTTTGGACTGGATCTCAGCACTGCCACCTCGATCAGAAAGTACGGGTGTGTGTGTGTGGGGGGGGGGGGTTGACCTGGCTTCTCTGCTGAACCTGACTTGAGGCGATGAGTCACTGTAGAAAGATAAATAAAAATGCAAAGGCAACTGAGGCACTGAGGGACAGCTTGGAAAAGGGCACCTCACAGCTGGGTCTCGACCGCTTTAGACTGAGGGTTGTTCGCAGAAGCAGCAGCAGTATCATCACTTTCAGGGCTGATAATCACATATGCGGGTGGCCATTTCTTTATTCTCATCGCACATAATAGACTGCAAGTTTTCGCAGTATTTGGATTGATGCATTATTTACAATGAGCAAATACGGATGACTGCATTTGGGATATTGAACTAAGATAGGTCCAGACGGCCAAAGCGGAGATGAACACTTAGCAGAAAGACCAAGAACCTGTGGGAAAGCAGAAGCCGGTGGGACTCAGGCACCTTAGTTTACCAGAATTGTTTGCAGAGCACTATTTTTTGACTGCGAATAAAATTTTCTTTTAATTTAAAGAACATGCCTTAGAATTCTGGCGTAAAATATCCAAGGCCACTTAATGTAAGATTACAACAGCAGAGTGATCTTTAGGGAAATTGTTCGCATAGTGACTATTGTCTAATTAGACTGTAAGCCTCCTGAGGGCAAGGATAGGCTTTAGAAGTCCTTGTAGCACCAAATAGTATTTGACTCAGGGTATGTAATGAGCAGACATAAAAGTTTCTTAAAATAATTAACTAAATAGATTGAGTGTGGCTGGATCATGTCTTCTTGAAATTGCATATTTTGCAAGAAAAGGATATTCTATGAAACCTCTAACCTAAAAACCTTTAATAAAATTAGAATCAAGGTGTCATATAAATATTTATTAAAATAAAGAGAAAAAGAAATTGACTATAAAGAATCATGAAGGTGACTGTTAAGTTGGTCTTGGCTAGTAGGAAATAGTGTTTGCTGCTTATTGTTGTGAGAAGTCAATTTGTTGATACAGTGTCAAGTTTGGTAAACGGTCTCTCTTTAGTGTTACCACTTAAATGTGCCAGTGTAGTTTGAAAGCAGCTGTAGGCAACAGGTAAAGGAACAGTGTGTCTGCATTTATTTATTTATTTTTTTATGGACACTGAAATTTGAAGTTTGTACTATTTTCCCCAGTAACAAAGTGTTCATCTTTTTCCCCAAGCATTTAAAATTGTAAAAATCATTCTTAGCTTGGGAGGGGAAGGAGGAAAACAAAAACAGGAGAGGGGAGGAGAGTTTTGTCCTGTTGGTAGTAGTTTGCTACTCCCACCTACCATGTGACAGAGTTTGGAGAGGAACCTTTTGAAAGAGTTCATGAAACATTCTCCTAGTGCCTAAGTCATATGCAGCAGTTAAGTTAAATGTCTTCAAGAGTAGCATTAACTTATTTGGGGCATTACGGTGTTCTATTTCGTCTTGAATGCTACCTAACAGACATCTTTATGCTAGCGGTTTTGTCTTTAATTCATTAATTATGTAATATTTTATACATAAAAATCATATTTTTAAGTTTATGTAAACTATAAACATTACATTCAAATGACCACCTATGACCCCATCACATAGCTCTAAGACTAGGTCTTAAGAACTAGATAATTGTTAAAAGATAATTCCCAAAATGAACAAAAATATTTTAAAATAAAAATATATTCACAATATATAAAGAGCTCTTACAACTCAATAATCAAAAGATAAATAACCCAATATAAAAATGGTCAAAGGATCTGAATGGACATTTCTCCAAACAAATGACCAATAAGCACATGAAAAGATGCTGAGCATCCTTATTCACCAGCAAAGTGCAAACCAAAACCACAGTGAGATACCACTTTAGACCCATTAGGATGGTTAGATTCAAAAAGTCAGATAATAAGTGTTGGTGAGGATGTGAAGGAATTGGAACCCTTTTACTCTGCTGATGGGAATGTCAAATGGTGCAACTGCTTTGGGAAACAATTTGACAGCTTTTTAAAAGTTAAACAGAGTTACCATATAATAAAGCAATGTCTTTCCAAGTATATGTATCCAAGAGAAATGGGAGAATATGTCCACATAAAATCCTATATACAAATGTTTATACCAGCACTAGTCATAATAGCCAAAAGGTGGAAACAACCCAAATGTTCCTCAACTGATGAATTGATAAATGAAATGTGGTATAACCATACAATGGGATATTATTTTGCCATAAAAAGGAATGAGCTACTGATGCATACTATTATGTGCATGAACCTTGAAAACATTATTCAAATGAAAGAAGCTGGTCACACAAGACCACATATTGTATAATTCTGTTCATATAAAAATATTAAAAACAGGGAAATCTATAGAAACAGAAAGCCGATTAGTAGTTGCTTAGGGAATGGAGGTTGGGGTTAGAGAGGGTGATAGTAAAGGGTACAGGGTTTCTTTCTGAGCTGATGAAAGTGTTCTAAAATTGACTGTGGTGGTGGTTGTACATATCATTGAATTGTACACTTCAAATGGGTGAATTGTATTTTATGTAAGTTATCTCTCAAAAAGACTGTTAAAGAAAATAAACAGAAGGCTAGAAAAAAAAAAGAAGTAGATTGTTACCTATGCGGTTGCATCTTTCTTTGGGTGCTTCTTTGCCATTCCCCATGTCCCTCCCAACTCTGAATTCTGTGTTAATCATCCTCTTATTGTAAAACAGTTTTATGACATATGTTTGTATTCCTAGACAATATGTTGTTTAGGTTTGCTGGTTTTTTATTTATAAGAAGGGTATGTATAATATTCTCACTTTTAAAAACTGAACATTATATATATTTTTTTTTATCCTCATCCGAGAACATTTTTGCATTTATCTTTAGATAGAGCAGGAGGGAGAGAGGGGGGAAGAGAGAGAGAGAGAGAGACATTGATGCGAGAGAGACACATCGAGTGGTTGCCACCCACACGACCCCAACTGGTGTCAGTACAAACTGAAACCAAGGTACATGCCCTTAGCAGGAACCGAACCCAAGACTCTCTGGTCCACAGGCCAACGCTCTAACTGCTTAGCCAAACCAGCCAGGGCTGAACATTATATTTTTAAGAATTATCCTTATTGTTGCATATAGCTATATAGTATTTATTGTCAAATATTCCATAATTCACTTACTTACCCATTTTCTTACTGATGGGTGTTTGGGTTGGATCCCAGGTTTTGCTATTATGGGGAGTGTGATTTGAAAACTTTTTTTTCATGTGTCTCAGCACACGTCTGCAAGAGGTTTTCTATGTGAATGTACCGTGTATTTTATTTTTTTTAATTAAAAAATTTTTTTTATTCTTACCCAAGGACAATTTTTTTTTGCATTTATCTTAAGACAGAGTGGAAGGGGGGAGGGGAGAGAGAGAGAGAGAGAGAGAGAGACATTGATGTGAGAGAGACACATCAACTGGCTGCCACCCACAGGACTCCAACCAGGGCTGGAGACAAACTGCAACCAAGGTACGTGCCCTTAGCGGGAACTGAACCCGGGACTCTCTGGCCTGCAGACACTCTAACTGCTGAGCCAAACTGGCCAGGGCTGTGCCGTGTATTTTAATGACAAAAAAAAAAAAAAAATGTTTATTCTTCTTCCGACTTATAGATTAATAGTATCTACCAGCTGACTCCTCCAAACCAAGACAAAGTGACTAGAGCTGAGAGCCTAATTGCAATATCTATTTTCTCATGTCCTGAGAAGTATGAAAAAGTGCTAATCTAAAACTCTACAACTGAATTTCACAACAGGACCACTTAACCCAATCGCGTATGAGTGTCTTCATCTCCTTGTATCACCTGGGTTTAGGATGGGACGGAGGACGACTTTATTAAATCAAAGGAACATTACGTTAAGCTAGGTACACAAGTGGTTTTTAAACTTCACTAATGTTTTCCTTGTATGGTATCCTGCTGGGTACTCCAATGTTTCCAACATGATTAGTTTGGTTATTCTGGTAACAAGCCAGTTGGAAATCTGGCATTTTAGCCTTGGATACTTTCTGGGTCTGCCGTGATTTAGGCTGTGATCTCCAGTTTCTTCGAGATATTTCCACTTTCCTTAGGAAGAGAGGAAGCACCCTAAGGTCAGAACAGGCTGTTATAAGGATTTTTTAAAGTTTATTTCTATTGTGGTAAAATATACGTAACATAAAATTTACCATTTCAACCATTTTAAATTGTACAGTTCAGTGGCGTTAAGTGCATTCACAAAGTCGTGCAAAATCAGCACCATCCATCTCCAGAACTTTTTCATCAGCCCTAACGGAAACTGTGTCCCCCTGAAACATTAACTCCCCATTGTCCCCGCCCCTCAGCCCATGGAAACCACCATTCTGCTTTTCGTCTCTATGAGTTGCCTCTGCCAGGTACCTCATATAAGTGGAATTATACAGCATTTGTCCTTTTGTTGCCTGAGTTTTTATATCCAGAGGAATTCCACCTTATTTTGTCTTTCTGTTTAGTAGAGCCATTTTCCACTAAAAAAAAAAAAAAAAAGGCTTCTTTTAGCAGTTGGGTCATTTCCCTTTCAATATACAGCACTACATAGC